CAATACTTCTTGTGATCTACTCAGAGTACTGTATTTTTTTTTGAAAGTTTCTTTTTAATCAGTATGTGATCTAGGCAGTTCTGAAATGTATCTTTACCCAACACATAATATTTGCATGTAAACATTTAAAGCTTAAATTAATGTTTACATTTTATTTTTTTCTTTTCTAAAATAAGGATTGTTTTTCTTCTTTTGTGAAAGAAGATATTGTAACTGAAAACACGTTGGCTTGTTTTAACCCAAGACAAGAGTTACTGAATAGTAATGAAATTATGTCGATAGGCTCACAAAGAGTTGGAAACGACTGAACAACTGTATAATAACAGCGGATTTCAACTCTCTTGATTCAAACTACTATCGGAATGAAAATCCCATGCTCCTGGACCGTAGCAGATTCAGAAAAGCCGAAAATGCTTATTAGAAATCTCAAAAAAGCAACCGTGAAGTGGGTGCTACAAAGTCATGTAGGCTACGGAAGAGATTGCCCAACAGAACCACAACCTAACGAATCGATTTAACTCATTTATTGCACACATTCATGAATCTAGATGAACGGTATCAACTTAGTAAACCACGACAGATGTGTAAATGCCCAAACCAGAGTTAGACCTAATGGCAGGAAATAAAGCACTGCAATAAAAAAAAAGTAACTAAAGGAAGGATGTTCTACCTCGCTTCTGTGCATACCGATTCAGAAACTCAAATAAATTGAAGACTTGAGACGCTGCTGTAACATCGCCCCCTCTCCAGCCCCGCCGAGGAGGGGGCGATGAAGCAAGATGAGAAAACTATCCCTCCCCCCGTTCGGGCCGGGAACAACAAACGACCACCCACCCAAACACGTGCTCCCTCACAAACACAGGCACCGATCCCTGAGGCGGCGCTTAGCACGGCGGCTCCTCCCCTTCCCCGCTCACCTCATGGAGGCTCGGCCCCTTCTAGCCCCGCCAGCGTGACTCCAGCGGCCAGGCCTTGGCGCCAAGCACCGCCTGTGCGTGGGAGGGGGTTCGCGGCGCAACTCGGCGCAGCGGTGGGATCGGCAATGTGGGTAAAGCGCCACCCCGAGTTTGGCCTAGAACCGACTCGGCCCCTTAATCGCGGTCCCGCATACCGGCCGAGCCGGCGAGGACCGGGAGCTACCTCTAGTCCCGTCTCTCCGAGCGCCTGAAGCTGTTTCCGGCGGACTTTTGCCACCCCCCAGCCCTGCCCTCGGCGCCAGGCAACCTCGGCGCCGCCGAGGGCCCCTCTTTTCCGCGGCGCTCACCTTGTGGCTCTGAAGCTGGTGGTGACCACGGTTTGCGCTCAACCAGGCCTGGAGCTCGGGTCTTGCTCAGGCTGCTGCTATCTCGCGTTGCTCATCGGTGCCTCCGTTCTTTAGTGTCAGCGGCGCTGCCCCCGGGCCTACCTGTCCGAACTAGGGCCCTGCAACATGCCGCCTGCTTCCCCTCTCTTTCCTCTCGTGCTCTGGGGGAAGCGGGCCCTTGTCCTTGTACTCTTCCTCTTGGCAGGCCAGGCGGCCGTACAAGAGCCCTATTGTATTATTGACACTACTGCTACCGCCACCACCACCGCCTCTCAGGCTCCGCCTCTTCCCTTTCCCTTCTCTCCCACCCTGCCGGCAGCGACGGCGGTTCAGCTCTTGTCTCGCGGTCGAACTCCGTCGGGCTGCCTGGCACCTGCATGGCAAAAAAAAAAAAAAACCGCTCCTCTGCCCCCGGATTTCTTAGCGATCCCCAGCAGCGCAAAGAAACCTTTCGGAGGTCCATTATCTGCTGCAGCTTTCCAAAGCTTGGTTAATCTTTGTTATTAAACTCCATTAGTTTTTGAAACCTCAAATTATTGGAAAAATCGGTATATGACCACTGTCTTCAGTACACTCTGTTTAGGTAGCATTTTTTTTTCTTAGCACGTTCCTTCCTTCACTGTGTAGGTTGAAAATAAAATGCTTTGTCCCACTAGATAAATTTTATCATACCCATGTACGTGTTACAACTAATATAGTGCAAAACAAACTACTTAATGTGTTGGGTACACATGGAAGCAGCTAAGCTGAATAATTGCATTTATGTTTTGCATAAATGCAATCATAAGTTGGGATAGAACAAAAATTTACATGTGTCAACTACCCTTGGTCATCTGCAATGAAAATAAGGGAAGTGTTATTTCAGCACAAAAACAATACAATTTTCCCTATGACAATCACATTTCTACAATTACAAGATGTACATGCCATCATTTTTATATAAAAATGTTTAGATGCTTTCAATTATAAGCCCACATAATTTTAACTCCATTACCAGTTCAGATCTAGCATATGTTTAATGATGTTTGTGTAAAAATATATCTTATATCAACAAATCCATAGTCTATATCACGGATGTCAAACTGCCGGCCCATGGACCAGTTTCATACCAAAGCTGCGCCCACCCCATTGCTGGCAATGCAAAAAGTCGCCATATGTCGCATCACGTGATGTGGCAAGTTTGACACCCGTGGTCTATATGATTGAGTAAACAAACCATTTAATACTGTAGCTGGGATGCATTATCCTGATACTGATAAGAAATACATTAAACAGTGTATGATGATTAATACTTGAACTTTTTCTGTTAATAAAAAGCTTAGCACATTTAGGGAAGCACTATTACATCCCAATTTTGTCCCATAACCTATGTGTCATGCTAGAACAACTTGCAGCATGGTGCCAATTTCATAATCCCCATTTTGACCAAAAATTGCTACATGGAAAAGCTGCTGATTCATGTTCAATTATTTGTAGAAAAGGAGACTCCTATATATGAAGTCACTTAATTTATGCACACGCAAATCATACAGTAGCTGAATTATAAAACTACAACAAACTTATCAACCTAATTTGGAAACTGTAGATAACATTAATCCTGTTTGATATGTGGGCAATTAAACTGGAGTAACACTATAGAATTCTGAAATGAAATGAAACTCTGTTAGTGATGGAAGACTTTTTAAGCGATGCAGAAAATATTTTATCCAGTATGTGCTGCTTTGGCTAGATACATGAAGCCAGAAGACATTGGCAAATCACTTTCAAAAACATCAAGAATACTTTACCAGGAGAAAGATTAACTTGAAGACACATTCTCAAAGCCATATGGAAGCTTATTGCAATATTGTTTTTGTATTCAATATACAAAAGTTGTAGGACTTAATATGGAAAAACCATTTTCAACCTAGCAAAATTCTCATGATTCTCAGCCATCCTGAGTGATGATTGATAAGGAATAGCTGAAGCTGTTTTAAGTACTTCCCATATGGTAATTTTTATACCTTCATATAATAGTATTTGTAGCCTATAGCATATAACTAGTGTTCCTGATAAACACAGCTCTATTCATCATAACACAGTGCTATTTAGAGCAAATATACCATGTTTAAGATGGCTCTGTGATCAAACATTTTATTAAACTAAATGTGAATGAAAGTTTAAATACCAAAAGCAAACTGCTGGATCAAAGCAAAAGTCTACCTGCTACAGCTTTGGCTACACTAATCTAGGAACCAGTAATATATCCTCAAACAGGACATAATGTGACAGTAATCTCCCAATCATATTTGCTGGTAGTGAATTACTTATAGGATGATACATCACCAGTGTGACTTCATAAATCTAACCAATCTATTAAAAAATATAATTTGGTCTCCAGTTAGGCATATGTAAAACATAACAAGCTGATTGTCTTGTTTTGTTTGAAGTTTAGAATACTCAGCACATCCAGATCCACAATAAAAGGTTTTATTCTCTCCCCTGCATAAAACTCATTGGTTTTGTACCAAGCTGAGACAAAATCATTAAAGGATTCTGTGTACTATGTTCATATTGTTATTTTATTAACTAAAGCTGTAGTACCACTCTGTTGCTTTTCCCTGGTTGAACAGAGATACTCAAAATAAACAGTGACCTGAGCTTAAAAACCTTGTTGCCTACCTAATAAATTTATTGCTTTTTCATGTTTAGATTAGGAAAATTAAATCACAGGCTAGAATTCTTTGCTGGCTCCTATGGTCTGAGGACTTTATGACTAGATTATTGAACTACAGATAGGCCTTGACTTATATTCATGTAGTGACTGTTCAAAGTTACAACAGCACAAAAAAAAGTGGCTTATGACCATGTTTCATACTTAGACCTTTGCAGAATCTCCATGTCCACGCTTGCCGATTGGCATGTATTTATAATGGTCACAATGTCCCAGGATTATGTGTTCACCATTTGTGACCTGACAAGCAAAGTCAACGGGGATAACTTAACTGCAGTGATTCATTTACCAACTGTAACAAGAAAGGTTGTAAACCGGTGCAAAACTCACTTTACTGTCTTGCTTAGCAATGGAAGCTTTGGCCTCAATTGTAAGTCAAGGACTACCTGTAGCCATTTTCCCACTAAGAAGCTTTAAACCTCTGCCACCTATTCATCTTCCCATTAGATTTTTGTACAGTGTGATTATCAGCATCAGATCCAACAAAATCTTAAAGACAATAAAATTACAGATAGTCTTTGTTTAACAACCAGGTAAGACTTCAAAAAAGCTACTTATGAGCCATCTTTGAAATTATAACACCTTCCCCCCATCACGTCTCACATTTTGAGCAGTTGGCAACCAACTCATTTATGACCAGATGCAGTGTCTCACAATCACATGACTATAATTTGCTATTTTTGCTATTTTCTAGCAGAAAATAGCAAAAAAATGCCCCTTGATATGCTGGATTCACTTAATAGCTCATATAGTGCACTTACAGTAACAACATGATTACTAACTTTACCATCATTGTAAAAACAATCATAAAATTGAGCCCAGTCATATGGTTCCTTGATTTACAACTTGAGTGACTTAAAACTGAAATTCTGGACTTTGTTGCAGTCATAAACTGAGCCTATATAAGCTTAAAAATTTAAGTATTTATTATATATGCAATACTGACCAGGGTCTTTTTTTAAAAAAAAATAATGCAATATATCATTTTACATTGTAAATAAAGGGAAGCTTTCATTTAAGTATTTATTATAAAACACATTTCACAAATGCTAGACAAGTTGTATATAAAATCTGTAACATACCATATAATTTTTTCTTAAATTCTATAATATAGTACCAATAAATTCAATTAATAAACAATATCAAATACATAACAATTCAGAAATTAAGTCATGAGTCCTTCCATTTTGATAATATAAAAACAAGTAAATGTCTGTTATGCTTCCATTGATTAAACTGCTAATGCAGAAATTTTCTTTTTCCCTCTTACAATGTTTTCTGTTAAAATGTACAGTTAAAAATTCTATACAGTCTTTATCCAACATAAAGTGCTAATATAGGAAAGAAACCAGTATTTACATATAAAACATTAACTATACAAAAAATAATAATTTTGCAGTTGTGTAAAATATCAAACTTTCAGACACCAGTAAATTTGCAGTATAATCCTTAAGCTGTAACATTTACTCTGTTTAAAGGAAGCTCCAGGGCAGCTACAACATGGCTAAAAGCCGTTTTGCTATACTGTGAATTGATAAACTGGTTGTATTATTATTCTTTAATTCTCATATTCTGTATTTTACCATCTAAATCACTTCAATGGTACAGTAATATATCTCAAATACTGAGAATGGATTTGAGTAGATGCTTCATTTTAACCATTTTTTTATTATTAAACATAGTAAATTTTTGAGGAAATGTTGTAGTGGCCCATGAGTTGAAAGGATCATGTTATTTAATTATGTGTATGGGTTTGGGGCGGAACAGATTTGTTGGATATGCCTACATTTGGGTTTCTTTTTGTTAATAAATGAATGTTGATATTAGAGTTCCTCTGTGACCTCTGTTCTGCCTTACATATCTTCTGAGATTCACAATTTGCTTAATGTTATTCTGAGTTTCTTGCAGTCAAAAGCAGTTATGACCTCCACACTGCTCCGCTGTTATTTGGAGAGGAACTCACTCAGCTTGTAAAAAAGGAAGAAATTATTTGAGAAAATAAGATAAAAGTTCAGCCTGGGAAAAGAAGCTGTTCTTGCATCTCTGTGGATCAGAAAAAGACTTCGATAGGATGCAAAGTAAGATAGGAAGAATCATAATTTAACAGCACAGAATTAGAAAACTAAAACAGAGCTTGCTGGAGAAATAAATCTCTTTTGTGTGTAAGGATTTAGGCAATTAGATTTAAAAAATCCTGGCTTAACATGTAAAATCAAACTAGTAAGATTGAAAATTGAGATTTATAGATTATACATAAACAGAAATGAAGCAGGTTTGCAACCTTTAATATTGAATATTAAGTAAAATGGGAATCAGATCTACAGGTCACATTCATTTCTCTAAGATCTGCATTTACAAATTAAATATATTTGGGAAAAATATATACAAAAATCTGAACCAGGACTCTCACAGAAATTCAGCAACAAGAGCAATAAAATCCCCTAATTGGAGATTCTCGTCAGAAGCCATAGCAAAACCTTGGTTTCCACAAATGCCATTTCTTGGACTGTTATGTCCTTCAAGATTAATCAAACATTGAAAGTCACTGTTGGACTGACAGCAAAATTTAAAATAACTGTTTTTGCTCATTGTTGCTAATTTTACACTAATGAGACAAACCAGCCAGAATTAAAATCTTTTGAATAATATTGATTTCATGTGAAGTGTTTGGAAATTTCAGGACATACTAATAGTAATGATTGTTCAATGTTATAACCCATACCGTTGTCAAAATTGAGTTTATGCTCAAAGATATATACATAAAAAAAAATCTTCAATATGCACCAGTTTTCTAACATCTATACTTCCATCTAGTGTACCATCATAGCTGAAAATCTTATAATATTAAAATATAATATGCAAAAAAAATCACATTACTGTTAAGAGGGATTAGAGTATTATAAGGAAAAGGCAAAAAAGGTAAAACATTTCACTTAATTCAGAGTGCTGTACAAACCTAATGTTCAACTCAATTATCAAGGTAGACATTTTTCAGTAAGGTGCTTTTGTTTCTTTCACATTCCCATCTGCATATCGGCAAAATTATAGAAACTGTCTATTTCTCTTGAAGCAGATAACTTGTCTTCAGATACAAAAACCTGTATTTTAGGATAAAAAATAAAGAACAGTTATGATTTAGAACACAAGTGTTTTACTCCAGACTTTTAATTTGTTTCTTTAAATAAGCCAGTCAACTGGTTTAGATTAGAATGCTAATCTAAAACTGCAAATTAAATGACACAAACATAATAGAAATATATTCTCATTTTCAAAATATTTTTGAAATTATATTATCTGACCCCTTAAATGATACAGACTTGGTATCTTTTAATGGATAATTCACCTCAAGATCTAATTACACATAGTAATTATTCAATTAACATTGGCCCAATAATTATGGGCCCAAAGTTAATTGAATAACGCTAGAAGAATCACCATGTATTTATTAAAAGTATTTATATCTAAATTCTAAATTCATAAAAAAATACGAAACATATTAATACTGTAAAAATTTAAAACAACATTTTTCATCGCTCCAGTCACTAGGCAATGACAATACTGACAATATAGTTAGGAAAGCAGATCTGACCTTATAGAAGCAGAATGGATATATCTTTGACAATATAGTTAGGAAAACTAATTTTCTAAGAGAAAGGACAGAATTAATTTCAATTTTTAAAAATAAAATTCTATGGAGAAAGTAGTACCCTGGAAAAACATGCTATCATTTCCAGAAAACACTTTCAGGAAAAATCTGCACCACTGCTCACCTTAGCTCCACTAAAGACATTAACGACAATGTCTTGACAGGCTGCTAAAGAACCATCTCCATTCAACTCTAAAGCAACCACAGGACCTAGAAAAGGAATAATTAAGAATTAATATGTTGACATTAAGTTGTATTCATCTCTATATGCCTAAGAGCACTAGAAACTGTACAAAACAATCCTTTCTACATTGCAGACCTCTCCCAAATCTGCTCTGGAATATTGGGAAAAGATACCAGGTACAACTCTGTATTTTTCTGATGCATCTCCCATTAATTTTTGATATTGTCAACTATGGTACCTTTTTGAATTGTGTAAATTGAAGATACTGTATTAACTATATTTGATTCCTACTTGCATAAACAATACTAAATGGCTGTATTTCTGACACATCTGTTGTAGAATGTCATAGAGCACTAACTTGATCCCTAATACTATTTAACATTTATATGAGAATAATCTTCAGGAGCTTTGGAACCACACCTCATTAATATTACTTTATTTTAAATGATTTATATGACTGCCAGACTTGCAAGTTATTACTTAGGGACAACTTCCATATGCAAATTTATGCTTACAATGTACTCTATGTGAAGTTTTCCTTCCATTTGATCTAGAAGTGGCAGTGTTGTAGATTGCAGTAATCAGATTACTCAGTAAGATATATCATCCTGTAATGTCTGCTGAAGAAACTGTACCAGCTTTCAGTTAGAATCTGAACCAAGTTTAGAGTCTTGCTTAAAATGTATGTTTGGACCAGAATCCTGATGGGCCACCTTTAGTGTAACATCTGATCAAATGCTGAGTTTGTGGGGGAGGTTCTGCTATGTCTGCCAAATGCACACAATGTCATTTTGCATTCTCTCAGATGGGCTTTCTATGTGGTTACGCCTCCACTATAGAATGGTCATCCCGGGAAGTTTAAGAGACGCTTGTTTTACAGTATTAAGGCATTTGTTGAAGACATCTCTCTTCACAAAGACCTTTGCTATTTGTTGGGATAAGTGTGTGTGGGGGTAGGGTTGTTTCCACTTATGTTTTCAACTCCCCTGTCACTTTTACATATATAATCTATTTTATTGTATAGTTGTTATTGAATAGTTTATATCCTTTAAATTGCTCAAAGATCCTGTATATAGAACAGGATAAGAATAAATTAAAAACATTGTACATCCCTCATGTTTATGATAGAAAAAAGGGACTAAATATAAAAAGTATATTTACTAGTAGAAAATATTTCCCTTCCCTCAAATATTACCTATAAGTTGATTTTACAGTCACTGAGAATAAGCTATAGCTGAAATTGAGCAAATGGGTAGAGGGTCAAGTGGCTGTAGACATCAAGATCAGTCTTTTAAGATCAGCCACCACTTGGAAGGGGCTGCTTGTCTAGTGGATTTAATTTTTCTTGTAATGCTGAAACATGGCACCTTTTTTCCCTTTGCTATCCTTTTCCATATCATCTCTATCCAGTTTTGTTTCCATCCACTCTCTCTTTCTATCTCCATGCAGCTTTTTTTCCTGTTTTATGCTGGAAAGAGAACGTGTCTGCATATGAGAATATTCCATTTGACAATATGATTGTATAGTTGGATGAATCTATTCCATAATGAACCTTATTCTACAGACAAATATAGTGATACATTATTTTCTTGGATTTTCTTGGAATGCAACTTCTAGCAAGTATGTAGCTGGAAACACATGTATACATATGCCTGTGCACACATTTGTTGGGAGAAGTCTCCAGAAATGATTTTAGCTACAGTTGACTAGTCTAGTTTGACAAGGTACAGAAAGTGAACATTATACTGGATATTGTCAGTTTATACTTACTCCCTGCCTACTTTTTTGAGTTGGCAAGGGATTTTCTTAAAACTCAGAACCAAATTTTGTTTTGGATAAATAAGATATCTTCAAAGCCAAGTCTAAACCTTATAGCATGGGAGAATTCATTACTCTTTTAAATTTGTAAAATACAAGGCTACTGGAATTGTTACTTTGATACAACAGCACCTACTGTATCTAGGACTAAATACGGTTCTGTGATATTGGAACAATGCATGTTTCTTATTGGGAACCAAAATTTGCTCCTGCTTATTCTTTTATATTTTGAATTACATATGATGCAGAGTTGCTATAGCTCTGATAAATTATATAGCTAAAAATGTATTATTGCTGCTGATCAAAATCAAGTCCAAAAATTCCAGAAACTTTATCAAAATTCAGTTTTGCAAAGAGACCAGCATATTCCTGTATTCCCTTCAAGAATGTTGATAGTACAGCTTTTACAAATAATCTTTACCTGTAATAAAAAAAATTGGTATGAGCTTCACCAATAAGTGAAATATGCCACTTGGTGACAAGGTGTTTTTATGTATAATTTCCATTGCCCTCTGCCTTAAGAATTACACTCAAATTTAAGTAAAAATTTTAATTTTTCAAGGTTTTAGTTTTAATTTTACCTTTGTCAAGTAAAGGAATGAATTCAGATGCTCTTTGCTGGAACACTCGTTGAGCATCATCAGCTTTCATTGAAACTTCTTTTGTCTGTAGCAGCCAAAAGCCTTTGCCAGTCATCTATTGGATTTCAGTAAGAATTGAAATATATATGAAATATGTAACATAACATATAGAAATAATCCTTAAAACCCCCAAAATATTTACTTTTATTCACACGTTTCTTCCCACACAGTAAATTCCCCATTATTTAAAGTGATCTATATCCTCTAAATCAGGGCTTTTCAACCGGTGGTACACGTACCATCTGTGATACATTGGCACGTGGCAGGTGGTACGCAGCCCAGGGTAGCGGAGTCCTTGGGAGCTGCAGGGGTGTTTGGGCGAGGCAAAGGCCCCAGGATCAGCACTTCTGGCACACCCAGAAGAGAAAGGAGGAGGGGGGCAGAGACAGGAGAGGCTATAAAAGAAGGCAGTTTGGGCGGGAGAGGGAGAGAAAAAAAAGATACAGCCTTGGTAGAAGGAGGAAGAGTCAGCTGGAGCTGCACCGAATGTAAAAGGAGAAGGAGGAGGAGGAGGGGTGAGAGAGAACAAAAAACAGGCCGGGTGTACACACAGGTGGCAGAGACAAACAGGTAAGAAACGCAGTTGGGGAAGGGTCATGGCATGAGACTCCTTCCTTCCCCCCTCCCTCTTATTGTCCCTTCCTTCCTTCCTTTCCTTCCTTCCTTCCTTCCCTCTTTGTCCCTTCCTTCCCTCCCCCCCCTCCGTGCCCAGGAAGGGACAAGGGGAGGGGGACAGGCTGTCAGCGCGGCTGGTGGCTGTGCTTCCGGTGGCCATGGCTTGCAAGGCCACTGTAAATTGCTGGACAAGAGCTGCACAGCTTTAAGAGCAGAGTGGCAGGAAGATATTTGTAATGAGGGAGAGAGAAAAACAGGCATCCTCTGAAGGAGACCAGCAAATGGTCCCAACCCTCTTCACACACCCGTAGACTCCGGGGGAGGGGACGCTGCAAGCAGCACGTTACCTGCGCTATACCGTCCGCACCCCAGCCTGGTTTCGGCAGGCAGCAGTGCATTTTCCTCACTGTGCAGAGCAGCTGGGCAAGACGAACCGCAACATGCCAAACCTGCCTGTGCGTGAGCAGATGCCTGTTTTTCTCCCTCCCTTACGAATATCTTCCCGCCATTCTGCTCTTAACGCTGTGCGGCTCTTGTCCACCAGCCATGCTGGCAACCTGTCCCCCTCCCCTTGTCCCTTCCTGGGCACGGAGGGGGGAAGGGAAGGAAGGAAGGAAGGACAATGAGAGGGAGGGAGGAACAATGGAAGGGAGGGAGGGAAGGAGGAAAGGACAAAGAGGGAGGGAGGGAAGGAAGCAAGGAAGGAATGAAGGGACAATGAGAGGGAGGAAAGGAAGGCGCCCACATCTGTCCCCCTCCTCCACCAGAGACCCACGGATCCCCTCCACATCCCCACCCACACCCCCCACAGGCACCCTGCAATCTGAGTGATGAGATGGCCACGCCCCCCTGGCCATTGACTTCGCTTGTCAAAAAGTTGCAAAAGGTGATCACATGACCTTGGGACACTGTGATTGTCATAAGTATGAATCAGTTGCCAAGCATCCGAATGTAAATCATATGATTCTGGGGATGCTGCAACAGTCATAAGTGTGAAAAATGGTCATAAGTCACTTTTTTGCAAGGCCGTTTAACTTCGAACAGTCACTAAGCAAATTGTTGTAAGTTGAGGACTACCTATCATTTTTTTCCTTTTTTTTTTTTGGTCATCAAGTTTTTAACATCTTGCTAGGCGACTGGTGGTACTCGGATATTGCCTTATCCTAAAAGTGGTACAATTGGTGAAAAGGTTGAAAAGCTCTGCTCTAAATCACAATAAATTGGGGGGGGGGTGGGGAAACATATAAGATTGAATCATATGAAGAGCTCTGTATCATCATATGATTCAGAAATAGCTTGAATGGGACCTAAGTCAAGAAAATGAACCATCAGTCATTGAGAAAGATTAAGTCCAATGGAGAATTGTGTATTTATGGTAATGTTTAATAATTCAAATTTAAATGCCCAGATGATTTAATTTGAATTATAAGCAGGAGGATGAACTCAATGATGTATATGACTCCTTCTAATTCTGATTCTAAAGAACTGTTAGTCAGATCTTGACTTTTACAAGTACAAATTTCTTACCATTAGCTGTTTCCTGATAATTTATTATTATTTCAGAAGCAAAAAGGAGCTCTCCTAAATTCTGGAAATTTCCAATTCCTTCTACACCTTGAAACAAGGATGCACAACTCCTGCTGGTCTGAGGTCCATATCAGCTTTGTGTAAAATATAATGTAATGTAACAAGCAGCATCAAAGCTCTTTTGGGAAAGAGATTTAAGCATTTGCAAAGGCTTAAGGTATCTATTTTGTACTTTAAGACTCTTTATTAGGCAGTGAAAATCCAACATATGGCCTCCCCCACTCTGGTTGCTAAAAAAAATTGCATGTGGCTCCTGGACTCTTTTTTTTTTTACACTTCTGCCCTAGGGAAACACACTTAGAGTAAAACAAGATTCCTATCCTAACCGTAGATCAAAGAATTTGGTTTGACATTTTTTGCAGAGGCACTGATCTTTTCTGAATTAAAAATGAGATACAGAAAAACATTTACTATGAGGATATTACAAACACCTTTTTACAAGATTCTCTTTAATGTTGTACCAGCAGACTTCAAATTATGAAGTGGGATTCTTCTCCCTCTTCAACCTTCATATGTATCCTCAAATTTTACTCTGGATTATTCTCCTGTTGCATCCTACAGGTTATATTTTCAAACTGCAAAGCATAGGTCAGGAATTCTGAAGTCCACGAGTTATAAAAGAGCCAAGGTTGCCTACCCCTGGCATAGGTTGTCAGTCATATAAAGGAACACATTTCAAATCTGCATCATGTCAGGATTTGGTTATGCCTTCTAAAATCCATATAAAAGCTACAGATCTGTAGTACTTTAATTTCTAAAAAGGCAAAATAGCTTTAATTTTAAACCCAAAGTATAAAGTATAGCAAATTGCTTCTTACCTCATCAATTAACTTCCTTGCATTGGCAGTTGTATAGTCTCCAGCAAAGAACACTACTAAGCAAGATTCCTCACTTTTTTTTTGCCGTCCTCCCAGGGTTACTGGAATTATGCTCTTATTGACATCAGTTGAAATCCTCACGGCTTTTAATTCTTCAGTAGTTGGCAATGGTACATAGTCTTGAACTAAAGCATCCTCAGCTAGAAGACCCCAATTATTTTCTCCTGAAACTGGTGTGAAGTCATGGATATTGCTCCATGTATTGTTAAAGATGCTTAGCCCAGCATCTTTCAACTGCAAAGCCAGCTCTGGATAATAGTATTGGAAACATCCAAATTTCATACCTGTGGAAGATTCAATAATGGGCTGGGTGGTACAGCACAGAAATACTTCTATCTTTCTGCAATCGCGAGTACGAAACTGTTGGCATGCCACAACACATTTACAGTCTTTGCAGTCACGTAAAAATACACTGCCTTTTACAGGTCCTAGAAAAATTTTGCAGTTTGTACAGTCATCAACAGTGATTGTAGCAGAATGATCAAATATATAAATATTGCAATTCTCACAGTCCTGAATGACAAACTGTTGCCCTGCAACTTTCCCAGGTAAACGTCCAACTGTTTCATTCTTGAGTCCAGAAAACATGTAATCTTTAGGATCAATCTAGAACAAAATCAATATTTTATAATCAAAATATATTCTTAAAAGGCATGAACACTTTAAGTCTGGAAAAAAATAGAATCAATATTTACTATAATATGCAAAATATTTAGTATCAACATTATTTTATTTCCTCTCTTAAGATAGTCACCATTTCTATTCCATTGTTGAAGAGACTGAAGGAAGGGTTTTTTTAGTCAGAGAATTTCTATTAAGGGCTTACAAACTATTAATCAATACAGAAGAGTATTCTGTACGATAGTTCAAATATGCTATTGATTGGTAAAATATTATTCAATTAAAAAAATCACAGCACAACATAAAAAGAAAATCAAGTATCTTTTAGGACAGTGGTTCTCAACCTTTCTAATGCCGCGACCCCATAATACAGTTCCCCATGTTGTGGTGACCCCCAACCACTTATACATCACCGGGTGCCAGGGGCGTGGCCAAAGAAAAGGGGGAAAAAATGGCGGACAGCCTTGCTTGGGGACCCCCGTGAAATGGTCGTTCGACCCCAAATGGGGTCCGGACCCACAGGTTGAGAACCACTGTTTTAGGAGAAGGAATGGCAGAATTTGGAGCATAGTGAAAAGGGCGATCAGCTTAGAATCCCTATGTAGCCACAAGCAAACTAAGTCCAACCTGATGCTGACTGTTAATTGAGAATATTCATGTGCATAGGTTTTTAGAAATAAATCATCTTAACTGTACCTTTATGTGTGGATTTGGTCTTTTGCACTTGTCATTTTTAGTGGTTTAAGTTTACTGATATATCAAGGATTTCTTGCAAGATGGTAATAGAATTGCACTTCTATAATAATATTGAAGGGTAGCATTAAACATTTCCATTTAAAAATATGGATTTTTTCACAAAAGCATAACAATTTATCTTAAAATGTAAAAGTTATTTGATTTAATTAGTAAGCCATAGTTACATATTATATTGGTTCTAGACCAATAGCTCCCAACCTTTTCTATACCCTGCACCCTAGAACGCTTCTCATATATTCTTGCACCCCTTACAAAAGTTCAAAATAATGGCAACAAATTATGCATATACACTATAATTTTGAAAAGCCAAGTTTTCGCACCCCTTGGAATATTTTCCTGCAGCCCCGGTTGGGAACCCCTGTTCATATAATTCAAGTATCACATTTTGAGGGATCATATCGCATATTCCATTCACAGAGAATACTGAAAAATGGAATATTTAGCCAGATAAATAAAATTTATATAGTTTTACACTTCATTACACATCTAAGATATAAAACAGGAAAACAGCAGATGCCAATTAAAATTAAGCCAAATGGATTTGAGAAGCTGTGTCACAACTAATCTGAACACACAACACACAAAGTTGTTCTGCTAAAATTGGCAGGATTGTGCCAATAATGACAGAACAGTATAATTCCACATGCTATCATCTTTTAAAGCAACATTTCAATTTAGCTTAGCTTCCTCAAATATCAAAATGTTCCCCAGCATTTAAAGAGAAAAAAAGCTAAGCCTCCTTTAAATGGATATCAACAATCAGTTATATTATCCATTAATATTTATAGTCCCCATTAAAATGTTTTATTATATAGCCTTATCTAGCTTAATTTCAATTCTTCCTAATATTAGGACAATTATTTGGCATAATCCACTCTAAAGCACCAGCTGATACAAAATGGTATTTGAAATATAAAAATTGAAAGTTATAAAGTATTTAAAAGTAGGATACAATAAATTTCTGCAATTTGTTTTTAATTCAAAATTCATTTATAAATCTAAATATTCATATTACATTTATAATCAGGACTAAGCATTTAAAAGTTACCGGTAACATGTACAGTATAGAATAGGAATATAGGGGGCAGCTAATTTAAAAGGATATTTGTTAGAAAATCAGGAAATACTGTATTTTTCAGGGGGAGAAATCGCATCATATTTCACTTATTTTCATCACTCAGGGAAATGAGTCAAATATTTCAAAATTTCCTTAGGCACCAAATGTAAAGGACAGTTGAAGGTGGCCATCTAAATGTTCTTAAATAAAGGAGAATAAACTCCTTGGTTAGTGTTATGTATCTTAAAAGGGAGGCTTCCATACAGCTTCACTTATTTAAAAAAAAAAACCCTCTGGGAATATTAAAAGCTTGTGTCACTACCTGCAGTCTCATTCTTTATACACAAGAGGTATCTAGACAGAAAACAAGGGAAGATCATTATATCTTAGATTATGTACACAAGAATACATTAATGTGTTCCTAACTATCACTATCAGGTTTAGGTATTTAACAAGTGCAACACAGACTAAATTATAACTAATAAAACAGAAGTCAACAAGAAAGGTTGTGGCAGTGTTAAACTAGTTTGTGATCGTTTCATCAACTTGTCTATGGTACACTTCAAAAATATGAGCTAACTAACACCTGTTTCCTTCAAAGGCTCCCTGAATTTTTTAAAATGTATTTCAGTATCTTAAAGTATAATATCAATAACTTTGCAGCTATATTGATCTATGACATCCATGCACCAATACATGGTAATAATCTAATTTAAATTCCATTTATCTGCCCAAACCCAAATCACTGCTTCGGAAGGCTGAAAAATTTCATATCATAGAGAGGAGTAAGGAAGCTCTCACCACATTTCTTCAGATTCATTAGGATGGCTAAAGGCTGGTAAAGAGTATCTAATCACACATCTTTTGGGATGACAGGAATAACCTTTCAAATGCTGAAGAAGCTGCAGATATCTATTTGCCACACAAGCAGCATCTTTACAGAAGTAATTTGACAAGCCCAAACAAGCAAGCAAAAACATTGGGAAAGGTGGCGGTGGGGTGTTAGATGGGCTAAAGCAAGTTCCCCAACCCGGCACAACACCCAGAATTCTCATTCATCATAATCCACAGCGGATATTTTGAGAGTTCTGCTGCCAACAAAACTAGAATGATATCCGTTTGAGGAAAACCGAAGTTAGAAAGTTTTCCTGGGAACGAGAGAGGAACTGTTCGTGTTTCTCCAGTTTACTATTTCGCAGTAAACGGAATTAACTGAATTGATTGGGTTCGCACGATACACTGATCCGTGAACTAGTCAAACTGGCGCGGCTCGCGCGACACACAAGCCAAGCCCCATTTATCCCAATATGTTGTGCAAACACAGCCAGCAAAGAAGAGGAAGTAGCCCTGTGCGCTCAGCCCTATGCCCCCCCCCCAGGACAGCCGCTTTCAAAGGAGGAAATAGCGGTTACCTTGGCTCGCTGGTCCCAACTATACTGTGGCTGTTTGTCGGCCTCCGCGGACAGTGAGCCATTCCGGTCTCCGGTCTCCGCGCCCGCTTTCGCCTCTTTAGCCTGCTTCCGCCTCTTGGAGAAGAAACAGCCCATAATCTGTTCCTTCACCTTAGAACACACACACGCGCACCACAAATACCTTCTCTTCACTGCGCCTCCCTCCAATCCAAATAGCCCCAACGCCTCCCGCGAAGGAAATATAACTGAATACGCCCCACTCTCTACTTAAAGCTCCTGCTTCCGGCTTCTCCCTCACCCGTCTCCCATGGCGACTGCGGCTCCTCCCTTCCCGGCATTTCTCCCAATCAGCATCGTATGAAAGCTTTCCGTCAATCTGGCTCGCTGACTAATAACGAAGCTCGACGTCGGTCCCGCTGCTCGCCGTGAGTCCCGTGTCTGAAAGCCGGGAATTGTCCGTAAAAAGAGCAAGGCGTTGTCGCCGTGCTGCGCGCGCTTCGAGACGTATTGCTTTTTCTGGCAGGGATGGGAGGGGGAAGGGAAGGATGTTTTTAGTAATAGGCTACAATGTGTGAATTGAACTATATGTCGTTGCTGAAGCTTCGACTAGGGTGTGCACACAGATTGCTCGGTGCGGAAAAAAAGCATTCTACTGATGCACAAAGGCACAAAGAATAGTGGTACCAACCTTAAAGATCATCTGCACGGGAACCTACGAATCCTGCTTTCCTGGGAGTAGTAAAGTATCGTGGATTATGCTATTAACTGGAATGGTCGGCTATTTTATTATATGTATATAGCGTAACCAGTAAAGATTTAATCTCTTGTCTAGAAAGTACCAGCAAGTTGTCTGTTACCAAGACGGATGTTCTATTCTGGCTCTTAAGGTATAATATTTTACTCTTTAAGACGAACTTTTTTTAATTGCACATTAAAAAGTCAAATACTGTCAGCAAAAAGCTTTCTTTATGTCTTCTTACTTGGGAAGAAGCTTCTGCCAAATATGATGGGATTTCTAAGGAAATATAAAAGGTTGCTCTATATAGATTATTAAGATAAACATTAGTATTCCACCCAGAGTTCTCACTTGAGGCACAAATGACAAGGATCAAATTATCATAATGGACACATTATGTGAAGACCCAGCTCTCTGAACAAGGCTCTGTGCTAGAAAAAAATGGAAGCAAGGAGAAGAGGATGACCAGTAGTAAACTTGATGGACTTTGTTATAGTGGTGATGTATGGAAGATTGGAAGATTGGAAAGATCAAGTTAGGGACAGATCATGGAGAAAAATTTATGGTTACTAAGAGCTGACAGTGTCTTCATGGCACATAATCACTCAATACCAGCATAGGTTTTCATTTGTTTTGTACCTTCAAGTCAGTCTTGATGCTGGCAACTGGCTGAACAAGTCCCTCAAGGTTTCTTGGCAAGATTTTCAGAAGTGATTTGCCCTTGTCTTCTTCCCATGATTCACAGAGTGACTGGTACAAAATTTCACAATTGGCTTTGTGCTGAAGGCTGGACTAGAACTCACTGTTTCCTGCTACTCTAGTAAATCTACAGAACTAAAATCCCTTGTGCACACTTCAGTCAATAGCATCTGTCAGCATTTTGCTAGGCAGATGAAATGTTTAGATAGTATTTTATTTATTAAATTTGTATTCTGGCTAGCTCCCAATGATTTTGAAATATGAAGTCCCTATTAAAAATGTGTGAAGAGTTAAAAAAAATAGTCCTGTGTATACTTAACCAGAAGTAAACAAAAGTAAAGGGCTTAAGCTAAATCTCAGCTGCTTATCACAATCTAAATATATCCACACAGTTGTCTTGCTGTTTCTTCTCCCAGAGATGATTTTGTTCCCTCTCTAATATATGTCTCTAGCATTTCCTGGTGGTCTACCATTCAAGTACCAAGCAGAGATGGCTCGCTTTCAGATCCAAAAAAGTTACTAACCACGATAAGTACATCTGAATTCAAGATGTATATGTGTGTTTATGTATTAAAAGAAATAATTGAAATATAATTCATATCTGCTGAGGTAATTTGCTACCTATTTTTTGCATGTCGAGAAGACTGACATGAAAAACATTTGAATCATATTAATGCATCAACTTTAAAAATATTGTTTCTAATGCTTTTGCTACAGAATAAATTACTCATACTATATGAATAGCATACAATTTATAATTTAGTCTGATTAAAATCAAGGAGAATAAAATTGTAACAGCTCTTAAGTGCAATATTAGAAAACTGGTTTACGTCAAGACACCCCTTTTCTATGATATAATATCTTTTGTAAAGCAGCACTTTAAATAAATACAAAGGAGATTGTTTGACTTCCAAAGCCAAGGAAGAAAACAGAAATCTCACAGTATTACAATCCCAGATCCCAGTCTAATTCAGTGCCCCCCAACCTTTTGGAGCTGTGGACAGGTTCCATGGAGAACAATTTTTCTGCGGACCAGGTGGGGGGGGGTGGTTTCATGGTTCTGCATGTGCATGGATGGGGCTTTGCTTGCTTGCGCTGACTGATTCCTGGCAGGCTGTGGGCTGGGGGTTGGGAACCCCTCGTCTAATCAACATGTTCAAAGATATAACTAAACATTTGCTGATTATTATCTTTTTCTGTGAATTAATTTCAAGATAATCCAAAAATGGCTAGTTGATTTTCAGTTAATAGAAGAAAATTATCTCTTAATCATTTGTGACCTTTCAGTTCTTGAAATTAGAATTCCAATGCAGCTGGTGAACTCTGAGTCAGATTGTATTGAAAATGTAGTGTTAGTAATAAATACTTTATGGTCCGCTTTTGTATTATATATATTATGTTGCCAAACATGTGATCAAGTATTTTAGCTTCTGAGAAAAAACTGCATAAATCCTTGTGTAGTTAGGCAAATAAAAAACAATTATTCCGAAGGACATGTAAACCTAATTTCTACATGTTTAATAAGTAAATGCTACTGGATTTAATTGAACATAAATTCAATAAATTTGCATAGGACTTGCTGCAGTTTATATTAGAATCAGAATAACACAGTTGGAGGAACCTAGTGATAAATATACATCAATATGATAAATCTTCAGAGACAATGGAAACTAATTGAATAAGAAAAATACAGATGGTGAGAGTCAGGAAGAGATTAAGGAAGTAAGATAAGGCAAAAATAGTTGGGTCTGAGAAAGGAAGAGGGAAGTCATAAAATAGATAAATAGTTTTTTTAAAGGAAATGGCTAGCCAGGAAGGTTGAATGGAAAATAGGAAAATAAGCTGAATAAGATAAGAAGAGAGGCACATTGAATTGAAAAGCAGGGAAAGAACTTATTGTTTAAAATGGAGATATAAATATATACTAAGTTTAAAATAACCATTTACATGTCTATGTGAATATGATTTAGTATGTTATCAGGAAATGTGTATAGGCGGACGGAAAGAGTGTAACCTCATACTACCTCAGCCAATGGGGAAAGAGGAGAGCTGTAGCGGCCGGTGATAGGGACGAATAAAAGAAGGAGATATTTTGGGTTAAAACTTTGGAGAGAACCAAGCTTTGATAGCTTCTCTCCCCGCTTATTGCAATAAACGAAACAAAAGGCCTTCACTGTGTCTTGGCTGGTTATTGGTCAGGCGAGCTTGCCTCTGGTCACGAAGGAAAGTAGCCAGGAGCACATAACAGCCTTGGGGGCTCCTCCGGGATTTGCATCCGTTCCATCTTTGGCAGCCGGGGATATTCGAAAGGGGAGTGCGCACCTGGGTAAGTTTTTCCCAGCCCTAAAGGTCGGATTGCCCCTGCTCAAACAAGGAGGAATTGGAGATCCCGAGACGGAAAGCCAGGACCCAGTGAAAACCTAAGGGAAAGTCGGCCAACCTAAGGAAGGACTTGAACTCAGCCTGACAGGTAAGATACCAGAGGGGTATCTGTATATCAGAGAGGTGTTAATGGGCAATAAGAGTTTGAAGAGGAGGGACGCCTCCCCGGCCAGTGTGCTGGCCAATAAGGAAAAAGAGGAAAGGTATTTACATTCTGGAATGAACCCCCTTAGGGAGATGGGAATCCCTTAGGGAGAATGTTGAAGTGTTTTAAGTCAATGCTTTAAACAAGGCATTTGAACAAAGGAAGGATGATACATTACAGTATATATTTGGCCTAAGTACATGTTTGGCCAGCCAATAAATTAAATTGGGCTTCTCAGCTTAGCTTAGAGCGATGGGGAATGGATAGGCAGTGGTTAAAGTCTATCAGAAATACTCCTTGCATTTCCCCACTGCCTGGAGAACAAGCTACAAGTGCCCTAAAAGAGTAAAAGCGGACATTTAAAGGGACATACACCTCCAAAGGTCTGGAAATTATGTTTAAGGGTCTGTGTGTTTGGGGTTTGTGTTGACTCATTTCTAAAGACCTGGGGGAGGGGAGGGAGAGACCCTCTAACAGTAATATACAAAACAATAAGGTCTTATTCCAAAAGGAAAATTTGGGAGATGGAACTCATTGGCTTTGAAAAAGTTCCTTGAAAATAAGAATGATTGTTTTGCCTGGGGTGAAGCATTTGGAATTTTTTGTGTCTGGTGTAAAAGCAAGAAAGGGTGAAGAAGGGTAGTTTCTTAGTAATTAGAAGGACAATGGAAGGTGTTAAAAGAATGGAAATAATCAGATGGAAGAGAGGGAACGAGAGAGTGAGAGAAAGAAAGGAGCTGTGTGAAGTTTTATGCCTGGCCAGGATGAAAGGCGAGAACTCTGATCTGCTATTTTGTGTGAAAAGGTTAAGTAGAAAGCTATGTATTTCTTGAGGTTTCTATAGTTTGGAAGGTGACAAGAGAGGAGAAAACCTCTCTCCAAATGGGGGGGGAATTGTCCCCCCTAACAGCTTTTGAAATCAGGCAATCTAGGAAAGAATTGCCCAAACTAATAGAAGATCCTATTGAAGTAGGAAAACAAGTTAGAAATGTTTTTAGGACCAATGGAAAGCATGGGAAGGTATTAGGGTACAAATGCAGAAATTAGACAGATGGAAAACTAAAACAATAGAAGATTTATTAGCAGTAAAAGAGGCTCAGAAAGTATATGCGAAGTGAGAAGAGGAGAGAGATAAACATAAGATAAGATAAAAATAATGGCTCATTATTGCAAACAGGCCAGCAAAGAGGAAGAGTAATTAGGAAAGGCAGGCTGGGGGTGAGGACAGCCAGTTGGCACCAGGGGATATAAATCTCTAGGAGAAAAATTTTCCCCAGTCCTTAAATAAATAAATAAATGTGCCTTTTGTAAAGAGGAAGGAGGGGGAAGAACTAGCACATTTG